GAGAAACCAATCCCCTCCCCGGCCCTCGCCGTCACTCGTGACCACAATCGAGTACTCACGGAAAAAGATCCCGAAGTACTAACCGTTGGATCAGAAGAGCAGTAGTAGTAGTAGTAGTAGATTGAATATTATGTACGAGGAAGACACAGGAGCTAGTCGAACGGTTGATTACTTTGATATGGGAACCAGTGTCAGTTACAGAGATTGTATTGACTGTTTTTCTAACACGTGACAGAAGGATATACACAGTTATGTGGTTTGGGGCGGCAGTGGCCAAGTGGTTAGGTTGCCAAATTGTATCCCGGAAGTCCCGGGTTCGAACCGCTCCACCGTCACCAGTCTTCCCGAATTCTGCATTTTCCCAGATAGTCTTTGTATGGCAGGAGCCCTCTTCCTGAAAGTTGACCGTAGATTTGTATATCCAATAAATAAAAAAGGAAGAAAGACAATATTTTTTGAAGAAAAGATAGAAAAGTATTCCTTCAAAATGTGAATCGCAGAACATAGAAAAAAAACTTGTGGTCATCACACGAAGCAATAATCGGAGGGAAATTTTGGGACTTATCAGGGAGTGAATAGTTGACTGAATTGTCAAAGTTTGAATGGAAGAGAAAACCCCGTCTCAATGCATGCTGTGTGTGTGCGTACGAAAAACTGATCAGCTAACAAGGGAATGACAGAGCTGGTAGAAACGACATTCGCGTCAGAATCCGAACACGTCAACGTCTCACGAAATAGACCATTCGATTTCATGCGTACCAGGTACTATGAATAGTGTTTTCTCTTCCGGTGATTGTTTCATTTGTTTACTCCATTCGCTCATAAAACACGCGGCAAGGGTTCCGGCTCCCAATACGATCAGTTAGAACTTGAACCGGGGCAGAGACAAAAAGAATCCGATCAGAGCTGACTAGTTCGAGCAAGGGTTGATCTTTGCCGGTCTTACTACAAGTGAAAGACCTCAAGGAGAAGAATAAAAAATACGGAACCGGTAATTAATTGGAAACAAAACAGATTGCTTGTTCCGAAGGATTTGAACCAGTACTCACAAGAGAATATGGTGGTACACATATGTATGTACATGAAAACACCATCGTGTGCACGCTTCGTTCTACACCGACAAATCTGGCCGAGAGCATAACTTTGATGCATGGACAAATAGCAGGCAAGGTTGCACACCCGGACTGTGGTTGGATGGTTACAACCTTTCGACTCAGGTGACTGTGTTCCAGTTGCATCACCACTGTCATCACCCGAATCTCCCTTTGTCCTCAGAGCATACACACATCAGCCCTTTTACTGGCACATACGCATGCGGACCGGATTCTGCACAATTACCTGCATCCAGAACAGGTGGATTTTCTTGCCGGAATCACAACCGGAGCCTTCAGCTAGCCAAAGACTGACCTATAATGCAGCGGGGTGGTGCACGAAAGCCGAAATTCAACGGGAGCCGGTGTCCACTTCAGCGGAGCATACGCCTTGTTGAACGGGGTTAGACGTCCAGGGTGTCCAAAACAACCATAGATGCCTAGTTGAGCCGCTGACCACTTCCAGGGAGGTTGGGTGTGTGTGTGCGGTTCGTACTCCTCTTCTTGATTTGTTTGGAATCCGGGTTCTTAGCCAACTCCTTAAGATGAGTTGCCACTGGTTCACTGACCTGCTTACTGCCCTGGATGTTTGAATTTTTATCCTCTCACTTTGGTGAGACAGCTCCTCCGCCACGTGAAGGAAGTGAGTAGGCTTCCTCAGCAGAAGCTATCTGACACGCTTAGTTCTAGAGGAGCATTGCGCAAGTAGCAAGGAAAGGGTAACCACCTAAAACCCAAGATAATCACTCCCAACTATGATGAGTCCTTTGGCATAATAACAAGGAACAGTAGGGTAAACAGGAGTGGGAAATTCTAGGAAAACGTGAAAAATCAACCCAAATATTCCACAACAAGACTGAAAACAAGCAGAGAGGAGCTTACCGGTTCGGATACGCAGAGCGCCTCGTAAGGGATCGTCGGTTTTAATTTCCGTCGTGACCACTAATGTGATCGTTTTTGAGGTGGCTGCATAACAGAGGCGCGGGGGGACAGTTTGGAATGCATGAGGACAAGGGGTGAATGATGCGGTGCTGCGAAAAGTTGAAAATCTTTCTTACTTAAGAGTAAAAATGAACCGATATCGAGCCGAACATTTAGAGTAATCAATGCTGTTGAGCATGCTTCAGATGTGTCATAATTGACAAATTTTGTTAACCTTGGTGCAGCTGATCAACAAAACAACAATATTACGTGGAATGTGTTGATCTTCAAGCAACACTATGACAACTACATCTCACTCAATCGATTTTTGGTTTATCTCTGCTCTTACTCTCTCCTGTTAATCATCATTTTTGAGGATCTAGACAACAAACGAATATCGTTTGTTTTAGGGAAAATATGTTGAAAAAAAGAATCTTCACCACGTCAAAATTAACGCAACCCCAATGGAATCCACACTCACAACTGGGTTTTGGAACAGATGCGATAAATCTCCCGGCTTTATATCTCGGTATGGTAACTGGCAACTCTGATGAGCTAAGGATTGATGGACTAGTGTAACCTTGGGTGGTAGTGGCACAGTGTTTTAGTCGGTGTCACCGGCATGCTTTGCACCCTATGGTCCGAGGTTCGAGCTTTGCTGTCATCCTGTTCACAACCACGATCAACCTAGCGTGGTTCGCCACTCCAAGTCTCGGGGCTTAGGTTACTGGTTCCCATCAGTGAACAGTAGGTTTTCTTGACTATGGGGTCCACCCTGTCTGATGTTCATCACACAAATGTGTGCAATAAAACAAAACTACGGTCATGTGGAACTCTGAT